GGGGGGGGGGTTTCTCTCTGTCGTCGTGTACCATTTTGAGATATATGACTTACAGACCTATACTCTCAGGGGCAGTGGGCAAATAATATGGCCGTGATCAATTTCCGAGCGGTGGCATAGTCGACTTGATTTTTCTGTCGCATGTGAAATAGGATGAGATCTCTCTTCCCGTCGTCCCATACATAGACCTCGTGCCACTTTCATCCCGAAGTGGGTTTTCTGGGATCCGTATTGAGCTTGAAAATCATATGCTCTCTTCAAGAACGCTGTGATCGTCTCGTCCCTCCCTTGCCTTATTGACTCATACCGAGTCTCCATGCGAGTTATCTCAGCCACTGGATCAACGTTGGGAAGTTTGTATCGAATGCATCCCTCACTTGCTGCTGGGCCAGGATGTCGGGGGTCACCTGGATTTGCTGTAACAATAAGATATAATAAAGCAAGCTTCACATACCATTTCGATCAGACAGCAAATCCCAGAATGATAATAACGGAGGCCCGGTCAACGGGGGAGTCGGTTTATTTCTCGCCGCCAAACCTAAGCCCGGTGGCGATGACGTGAAGAGACCGAAACTGGTCCGTGATTACGAACAACAATATGCTCGCACCACTATTCAAACATTAGAAGACATATAATGCAATGATGGATTATACTTACTTCGGACTCATTGTTTATCTTCAGAAAGACGAAGCACTTCCTATCGGCTGCAACGTCTCCCTCCATGCCATACCTCAAGCTGTAGTATCGTCGGTCAATTAAGTCGTACTTTTCTTCCTTGTGTGACCGAGCGCCTGGATTGTAGCTTCGTCGGTGCTATCTGATAGCATCAAGATAGAGTTGTCGCATTGCTGGTTGCCGTCGAAGAAGACCTTGTGCTATTGCGCGGCAAACTCTTGGAAGTCATGCGGTACGGCTTTTCTATCTGGCTGCGGTGCTTGGTCTGCCTGATTTTGCCAATACTCACTTGACCTCGTTATTGCTAAAAGCGTCCCTCGTTTTCTCCATCCATTCGGCTTAACCAAATCAGTCAAGTGAACGAGAGTTCGAAGCGAGGGTTGACGATAGGGGTTGGTGATGAAAGATTGGGGAATGAGTTTGAAGTAAACTTGAAGTGAATTTGAAGCGAGAATAATATGTGGGCACAATGTGGTGTTTATGCTGAAGACATCCTGATTTGATCGGCGCAGCGTAGCCTTTTAACAGACGCCCCCAATGGTAAGTTTCGGCGCAATTTCCAGCCTTTGTTTTCTTTTTCCTCTCCGCGAGGGCTTTCGTGAATGACCATGGATGTAGCAAAAAGGGATCCTTGTGAAGAAGCTTATACCTTGCTTGTTTCAAAATGACCTCCCAGCGACCAGCCGACTCTGGCTTCCAGTCGAAACCTGCAACGACGCACCCAAAGAAATCTAGATAGCTGCTTCGGGCTCGCTCTCTTCTGGCTGGCGATTCATGGCCTTCAAATTCACTTACCAAATGGTGCCTGTCTATAAATCCTTTCCAAAATGTCATTTATCAGAATGATATCTGATATGGAGGGTGCCCGCTGGTTTTGGCGCATGAGGCGCATGTAGGCAATTTTGATTTCCCACCACACGAGTCCAGAGCTCAGCCACCGACTGGGTGAGGACCAACATTGGCACCGTAAGTTGCGCTGGAGTTCGAGGTTCCTTGATCCAGAGTTCAACGCTGACCACATACGGTCTCTCTTCACTTTTCAAGTCGGTTTCACAGGAGATGATGGCATGCTCTTCGGTAGTGGAGTTGGCTGCGGCTGACTCTGTGGATTTGACATCTATTGCCTGGGGACTCCAGATCTGAGTTTGGAAAGTGTCGCTCACTCTGGCCTTGAAATTGGGCCATCGCTCTAGCTTTCCGTTGTAGTAGATCCGACGGAGGTAGTTTCGCTCTCTGTCCAGGTTGATTCCACCATCAGCAAGCATCCATCCGGAGGTGATGAGACGATTCTGAAAGGCCAACCTCCAGCACAAGTAATGGCCAAAGTGGCAGGCTGGTGGGATTATATGAGGTGGTAGCACTTGCATCAATCATTGCCACGAACATACGTCATGCTAAATTGGCAACAATGGACTCATGTTAGGATCTTAGCATGCCGCGAAGCAACAGCAAAAGATCGTGGATGCTTACGCCGACACCGGACTTCAATCTCGCAAGGAACTTGCGACGCAAGGTATCATTCGTTCCTGGTACATGATAGCGCATGTTACCTAGCGCATGTTACGGTCTTATCCTAAATTTCAACGATTCTGGACAAAATTTCATTCCTGAAGGTGAGGTGCTCAGGTGTTTAATACCGCAGCCCATGTTGATGTCTTTACCACTGTTAGGCGACGCCCGAGAAGACATAGCAGCGCTCGGCTTAGGAAGGGTGGACAGGTCGACCGATGATGCCGATGATGTTGTCTTGTAATTATCCCGATGCAGCTTATCAAGGATAGCACGCACAGTAGTGACGTAGTGATTACAAACATGGATATGAATCTACTGCTCCTCGGGGTGGTTGGAGACACTCGATAAGCAATGTCCCTGTGTCCGTAATACTTCTGTTGTTGAGTGTATCCTGACCAAGCCGAAAGCCCCCGTCCACGTCAGCAGCGGAACTTGATTGCACAATGCCTGATATCGAATTCACCGTAGTGGTCAACTCTCCACCGTTGAGGAATGCCAATGAAGGGGACTGGTTGGGTTGAGGCAGGCCAAGACCAATTGAAGGGCTCGGGAAGCACGTTGTCTGGGTTCCGGCTTGGAAGCCGCGAATGCACCTACACGGACTGGAGAACCGGATCTAGCAGCCGTTGCATTCAGAATTGGCATCGACACAGCCCGAGTAATAGTGAGACAGCTCTGCTCAAGTATCACGGGTGACTCCGGGGGTGGAGGGTTGCAGGTGATAGAACATTGTCCCGACAGTGTAACGCAAACCAGGTAGGTGATGATAGAAAAGTCAAAGGGCACTGTACAGTCGCTCACGTCCATTTCTTCAATGTGACTGACGTACACATGTTTGTGACAAGGTCGTCAACCGTGTCATCTGTGAAATTGACAGTTTCCTGCCCGAAGATCGGAGGCACCAGGAAGGGAGATCCGCGGGAGCAACACATTAGACTTGGATCCAGTAACCGCTTCCCGGCAGTCTCCAAGTTTCGGGCTCCTTAGAATCATGTCTCACCTTCACAATGACGGTTCTAAGTAAACGCCGAGTCGGCACAAAGAATAACTACACGCGAAACAAGCGACAAAGGGAATGATTCTACAGAATAGGACGTGCGAAAATCCATGATTTCATTTCAATATCGTTATGAGGATATAAAGACCATAAAAGCTTTTTCGAACATCAGGACATTTAGTTGCCGAGCTTCTGGCGAGCGAAGTTGGGCAGAACAAAGCTGGCACGGTGGATGTCCTGGTTGTAGTAGCGGCAGAGCTTCTGCTCCTCCTCGGCGGTCCAGGTGCGGAGCGGCTCGCGCACGTTGCGGGTGGCGTCCTTGGAGCAGACCATGAAGCCAATCTGGCCGGAGGGGTAGGTGGGAATGGTGGTGTAGGCGTACTCGGCGACGGGGAAGACCTCCTTGCAGGACTTCTTAAGTTCGGCGATCATGTCAAGGTGGAGCCATTGGTTCTCGGCTGGTAGATATAAAGCACAGCTCCGCAAAACCGAGCCCGTAAAGCGGGTTGGTTGCGGGGGGGTGCGAAAAAGATTAGCTTGTGATCCCATTGTTTTGGAGTGACAATAAAATGAGGGGGATGGGCAATCAAGGAGTGATGATTGTCCTACGAAAGGAATTGGGCGAGACAAAAAGAAAGTGACGAACAACCTTGGGTAGTGATGACACCTCCCTCGCGAAGGGCAGACTTCAGAAGCTCGAAGTAGGGCTTCTGGAAGAGGCTCTCAGCAGGACCCTCGGGGTCAGAGCTGTCAGTGATGATAACATCGAACTCGTTCTGGCGGTTCTTGAGGAACTCGAAGCCGTCACCAACATGGGTGTGGGCGTTGGGGTGCTGGAAGCCAATGGCCATGCCGGGCAGGTACTTCTTGGAAACACGGATGACAGCCTCGTCGATGTCGCACAGAGTGGCCTCCTTGACAGAGGCGTGCTTGACGACCTCACGGAGGACACCGCCGTCACCACCACCAATGACGAGGACCTTCTCGGGGTTGGGGTGGGAGTTCATGGCCAGGTGGGTGATCATCTCCTGGTAAGAGAACTCATCGCGCTCAGTGCACTGGATAACGTTGTCCAGGACGAGGACGGTACCGTAGTCGCTGCTCTCGAAGACGAGGACATCCTGGTACTTGGACTTCTCGTGGTGGATGATCTGGTTGACCTTGAGGCTCATGGCCTGACCGGGCCACATGCCGGACTTCTCAGAGAACCAGCCATCTGTAAATTGGGAATCAGCATGTTATTGTAGCAAATTGACCGGAAGGCGGGGTAATGGAGGGGGTTCACGTACCCTGGATGGTGGGGTGGGTAAGCTCGCTCATTTTGATGGGGAAAGAAGAGAAACGATGGGGGAAAATGGATGATGAGTAGAAAGCAGAAGAGAGTCTGAAGAGACGAAGCATTCGAAGAAAAAGGGTACGGCGGAAGTTTGGCTGTTTTGGGCGAATTTTTTGCTTCTTCTCGGCTCAAGTGGGGAACCGCTGCTGTGCTGCCACCAGCACCCCCAAACATCCTCAGAAACAGGACCGGACCAATGCTAATACAGATAATAGGTATTAAGTACCTCTAGTAGTCTTGATTGATTGCAATTCGACCCGGTAAACATGCCCCATGTCCATAATTGGGCATGGACACCTCAGGGACCAATAGAGAGCCCTAGAAAGACGCTTACTCAAGCTTGCCTCTGAATATAAGAAACAAGCGCAAAAGGATGGCAGATAAAAGGAAAATCAAATGGTCGATTGCTTTCTAGTTACTGTACAAGCATACAGCTCCCCCAAACTGCAGAGTCTTGGGTGTATCGTGCTCTGTTATACCAATCCAACCTCACTCCAACAAACAGATTGAAACAATTTACTCTTCTTCACCACCACCCTCGAGAAGGCGGCCGGGCTTAGAGTTCAGGAACTCGTTGCTAAAGCATCAAATTAGTGCACCGATCGAAGCAGCTCCTGCGGTCATTCTTACCGCTCAATCGCCCAGTTCATGGTGGCGTATGCGACGACGAAGGGGGGCACAACGTAGAGAACCTGGTGACGGAAACGACGGAAGACGTTGAAGACGGCAGCGTGGCCGGCACCGGCGAAGGGACGCTGACGGTTAGGGGACAGCGAGTAGGTTGCAACGCGCTGGGGGGTCGGGCAGCCTGCACGATGGATATTAGCGGTCCGGTCGAATTGCGTTTTCCTGCTTTGTTCTCGGATCTGTCTCCATTTCTTCTCGCGATTTTTGATATCGCGTAGAGGGTCGGTCTGCTGCGCATGCATTGGGTCCGTATGAAATGTTCAAGGGTTATTGTCAAACGTACCGAACTCGCCCCAGTTGCCGATGAAGCTATAGAAAGTAAAAGTTGTCAGTTAACTGAATGAAAGGTGCAGATGTTATTGAGTCTATTAAAGCCAACTCAATGGCATCTTTTGGGAATTGCATTGTGTAGCCGGGCGGGTAACGCATCCGGGAGGCCGGTACTCAACCCACGACACCAGAAGCAAACGTGAAACGACTTACTGTCCGTTCTTAGGGTCCACAGCGCCACCCATTGTGTATGATTTCGGGTAAAAAGAGAGGAGTGGGGTGGAAAAGATATGGAGGTAGCGAAATGAGTGAGGAAAAGACGAAGGTCGGGCGAAGTTGGAGGTTTGGAAAGATGGGCACTAAACCCGATCGGGAACACTCAGAGTGAGCAACGGGAAAAGCAGACATCATCTCCATTATCCGTCCTCATCACCTCGCCCTCCACCTCCAACCATGGCCCAAGCCCTCCAAAATGTTTATCGAATGGCCTTCCCCTTGGCTATTGGGGGTATGCTAGTCCAAAATTCCCTTTACGATGTCAAGGGCGGCACACGAGCTGTCATCTTCGATCGAGTGTCTGGTGTGCAAGAGAAGGTTGTCAACGAAGGAACACATTTCTTGATCCCCTGGTTGCAGCGCGCAATTGTCTACGATGTCCGCACAAAGCCTCGTAATATCTCGACCACGACAGGAAGTAAGGATTTGCAGATGGTCAGCTTGACGCTGCGTGTGTTGCACCGCCCGGAAGTGCCGAAGCTGCCGCAGATCTACCAGGTGGGTATCTCCTATGATCCCTAAGCATATCACGATCAAAAACACTGACCAAAAGTTATCCAGTCATACGGTACCGATTATGATGAGCGTGTCCTTCCATCCATCGGAAACGAAGTCCTCAAGGCCATCGTCGCCCAGTTCGACGCCGCCGAGCTGATCACGCAACGTGAAGCTGTCTCCAACCGTATCCGTACCGACTTGATGAAACGTGCCGGACAATTCAACATCGCCCTCGAGGACGTCTCCATTACACACATGACCTTCGGAAAGGAGTTCACACGGGCCGTCGAGCAGAAACAGATCGCCCAGCAGGATGCCGAGCGGGCCCGATTCATCGTCGAGCGTGCCGAGCAGGAGCGCCAGGCCAACGTCATTCGCGCTGAGGGTGAAGCCGAGAGTGCCGATATTATCAGCAAGGCTGTCGCCAAGGCTGGTAGCGGACTGATTGAGATCCGTCGTATCGAGGCCAGCAAGGAGATCGCCGCGACCATGTCCTCCAACCCCAACGTCACTTACCTGCCTGGCGGAGAGGGAAAGGACGGAAGCAAGAGCACTAGCCTCTTGCTGGGTCTGCGGAGTTAGGGGGGTTATAAGGCTATCTTGGGGATTTATGGGCCCCGTTTTCACAACTCATTGAATGTACCAATTAATCGCAATTTTTGCCGACTTGGGGCAAGTCTGGCCTCGTGGCGTGAATTTGGAGTGGTCTGAACTAAGCCACCTTTTTTGTAGCAATACCATACCTCACTCCACACAGCACTTCGCTTCTTTTCTTTTTGGACACTCAATCGTATTGCTCATTAAATGGTATTTATATGTCATGATATAGAACACACCAGATCTACAAACGCCGATACACGTGCATCTGGAAGCGCATATCTTCCAAGCCTGCTCCTTCCCCAACATCATACCGCAGACGCACTGCGTCCCGTCTCCACCACCTCGAGTCCTGAGTGTATACACACTCCCACTTGCCTTTTGCCACAGACAGCAGCGTGTGGTCAAGCAAGAACTTCATCGGATAGTTCCTCTCTTGTGGTTCACCGTCTGGCCCTTTTCCTAACTTCAAAGTCGAATAGCTGCCAGGACTATCAACAACCAGAAGCACCGCACCGGCAGGAAGGATTTCCGTCATCTTGAGCAAGAAACCGGTAGTCTTTGGCATGGACGTAGAGAAGAGCTCATTCAAAGTGAACATGATTGGAACAAGGACGGAAGTGAAAGGAGACGAGGAAGGGCCGAGGAAAATTTCTTTCAGGTCCTCCTCGGGAAGAGTCAGGACATCTTCGCGGCGGAAAGATACCGAAAATGTTTCACTGGCCACCTTCTCCGAGAGCAATGGGGGACGATATTTTGTTGTCTGGGAAAATGGCACATCGGACGAGGTGATTGTACGTGAAAGCCTGTCAACAACGTCGGACCAATTTCCGATATCGACTGCCATGACAGAGAGACTGGGTGCACTGACACCTTGGTCTTCAACTTCAGTCTTGTTCTCGTTTTGAGATTCCGTGTCTTCAAGAGAGACGCTGGCAACACGTTCCTCTAGCGACTGGGTTTGGGAGCCCATGTCTCTCCACGCAGCTGCAAGAGCAGCGATCTCTGCACCGGCTCCACCTCCAATTGATACAACCCGGGTACAGCAATTCTTGCTTCTAGCACGTCCCCGGCTGTTGTCCTCTTCCTCTTTCATCCAGGTCAAAACTCCCTTTAACAAGCCCGCATATCCCAGTGACCGCGACGCACTCCAGCGCAAGGCATAGGCGCGCAGCAGATCTTCGCCCGCCTCGGCGAAGGCAGAATCAAAATCGCGCTGATATAGAAGCCCTTTGATTGTCTGGATGAGAGATTTGATATCTAATGGTTCGTCTTTATTTTCGCCTGGTTGTGATTCAGTAGGGTTGGTATCCTGGCTTGCAGATTCCGATTCTGCGACTGGGTTTCCAAGGAGCGCTGTTTTGAATACATCCAAGAGAAGTTGTTGGAGGGTGAGAGGAATTGTGCCGACAAGATTAAGCCCGGAGGACTCTTCTTCCTCGAGTTGTTCGGCTTCGGCTTTGGCTTTTGCGACTTCGGCTTTGCGATTGGCATGCTGTTTGTTTGCTGGCGGCGCTTGCTTTGGTTTTTGCGCTTTCGCTTTCGGACCTGGGGACCTCCTGCGGTTTCCCTGACGTGGAGCGTGAGGCATTATATATATTTCAAAGACCCTCGTTTCGTCTAGTCTATTGCGAGGAATGTCTCTCTAATTCAACGTGGGGTGGAATTTTGAACTTTTTCCCTTATCGTTATCGGCGGCTCCACTATCATCATTGCTCTATAAACACTTGATTGTTGAACCTTTTCGGGAATTTTACGAATATACTTAGAGGAATATGATTCCTTGAAGCCTATCGCGCCTTGATGCATCCCTAGAACTCATTTCCATCACGATGTGTTGAATGAAGTCTATATAATGGTCAATATGGAGACGTTTGTGGCCCGGAATCAGAGCCCTGAGTGCGTAGAAGTCCGAAATACATCCAACACAACACAATATGATGATGATAACCTTTCATATCCTAACTATGCTCCTATCAATCTGATACAGTGACTATATAGCATATCTATCATACACGATATATCTGACGCCGCCTCTGTGGTTGATCAAGACACTGCATTTTCTCCAGACAGAAGCCGCACCCTGGCAGTATGTAGAAAGGTCCTTTATCGAGTCCTCTAGTTCACGCTTTTATCAATACCCTATCAGCTGTCTTCCATTAATAGAAGTATAGGGCACTTCGGCCAGAAGTACGAAAAGCACACTCAGTCCTTCCAATATTGCATGTGATATACATGTGCTAGTCATTTAGTTCTCAATAAGTGTATGTTCCAGCAACTAATTATATCGAAACATTCAAGTTCTATATCAGAGACGGGCGTCAAACGGCAGGAAGTATATACACAAATGTCGATCAAGATACATGTGATAAACTATCCTTTGCGGGATTTATTTACCATTCATCTCGGAAATATGTGGAGGGCTAATAATGCAGTAGGCAACGAACGGAGGAACCGGCTACAAGGATACGTAGTATGCCATGATATACGTTGTGTCGTTCTTGTCCCCAACATACTAAACCGACCAGCCATCCATGGATGCTTCCGCCTAGAACGCTGCCTACGCCTTACATCCATGAGGTTATACACTTTGATTCAAAGCCACGTGAAGATATGAATGACAACAACACGAGAACGACGCACGGAGGTTATCATGTGATATCGCGTTGAGCCGCTCGCGTTGAGTCAAGAACCGAACGCGCGATTCGCGTAATAATGAGTCACAGCCTAGTGCTGTCAGCCAAGGAGTCATATCCGTCGCCCGAGCGTACTCTCAGTGAGGTTGACGCCTTATAGGCCGCCGTTGGGAGCCCGTTAACGGCGGTCTTGTCTCCTAACTCCGACCTTCTAGATGTGGACACCGCCAGCGAGGCCATATGGTCTTCTGATGGCCGTGCTCACGAAGGCCTCGCCAGAGCCTCGCAGGAATATACGAGGCGATGGGACCCGAGTTGAGAGTGGTGTGACTGAAATATCTGCCTGAGCACTATCGCTGACTAGTTAGTTAACTAGATATCGCGTGGAAGCCTGGGTGCCTTAGGAATACGTGCGCACGTCCATGGATATCATTGGCTGCCTTATACTTCGACTGTCAACGTGCCTTTCGGATGCAATGCCAGGAGGAACCATCGTATTTCGGTGCTAATAGATGGCCGCTTGAGGCTGTGATGGATTACAGAGTAAGGTTAGGGGTTATTTGAAAATAGGACCATATCAAGAAGATATTATTCGTACAATTTGCTATTAATCAGGAACAAATCGAACTAACAGTGGAGTTGAGTGATAGAAGCGAGTAACACAAAGGATACATCGAACCAAACACCCGGGTATATGAGGCGAGACAACAACGCTGTAAACCGCCTCTGGAGACAACACCGCCTGGCCCATATGAAATCATCAAGCTGAAACGCCGTAAAATACCGGTAAGGTCAATCTTGAATCCTCGAATCCTCGCATTCCGTGAACGCAAAGAAAGCAACTTCTGCTCAGAGAAGAGCCAGGGAGACCGAACCCGAATGCTACACAAAGCAAGAGAGAAAGCCAGTGGCAAAAAAAAAATCCACAAAACAAGAGAAAAAGCAAAGTCGCAGATTTTGAAGCGCATTAGCTGCTTCGATAACGCCCATAAGATGCATAAATCAAATCCGTAGACGTTTCAATCCGTAAGGAGCAACCCTAAACGGGAGGAGCCGCAGTAGGCTGGGGAGCGGGCTGTGAAAGATCTTGAAGGTCGGGTACGGCAGGAGACTGTTGAGGGATAGCCTGCTGAATGTTGGAGACGATTCGCTCCAGTTCTTCGAGGCGACGATCCTTCTCTTCGACTTCGCGGCGGAGTCTCTTAACTTCGTGGTGCAAATTGATTCCGTGCTCATCGGTCTCAGGCATGTTTTGGAGATCTCCGACCACAGGAGAGTCGTGGCGACGCTTCATTCCAGTGATAGGGAGAGAGGGGGCACGGACACCCTCCACACCTTCAAGGTCAGTGGGGCGGTCCCAAGACATATCGACCATTGGGGGGGCTTCGTCATTGTGCATGTGACGACGGCGAAGATGTTCTCGCAGGTTCTCTTGGCGTGTGAATCCATTGCCAGTGCTGCGGTTGCAATCACTGTATGGGCACATCAGGGCCTTCTTGGTGTCGGTGTTTTTCTTATGGACCTCACGCTGGTGACGCAGGAGACCACCAGAGTAGGTGAAACCTTGGATCTTGTCACAGTTTGGTTCGTAACACTTGTAGGGACGATCATGCTTATCCATGTGCTTGCTAGAGTTTTGTTAGTACTAGGCGCGTTAAAGAGACACAACTATAGGGCATTGTACTTACTTCCATTCACATGGACGACGGAAAGTAGGAGGCGCGGAATGACACTCGGGATGGTCGCAATAAATCTGACCTTCAGAGTTCTTAGGAGGATCACGGGCGCGTCGAACAGAAAGGCGCGGGCGCGCCCCTTCAAGGTTGTTGTAGGTCATGGGTTGCTGAGGGTCGTTCATTCTGGCAATTGGGGGCGAGGATTCAGATGCAGAGGCAAGGATGGACGCAGCAAGAGCGCCAGTAGGACCTTCACTTCGTGGGCTAGGATAGTCAGACCCGTCGCCCATATCGCGAAGTTGATACCCCACACTACCGAGGGGATCTTGATAGAATGTGGTAGATACCAGAAAGACGCGTCCTCAATTCACAACAACGGTAAATTTAGGAGCACTGAGTAGTTGAGTTGAGGAAAACAAGAAGAAGAGAGTTGTTTATGAAAAAATTTAAATAAATTGGCGGTGAAAGCCTAGTAGATGTCGATGGTATGGATTGGGGAGAAAGTGAGGAGTTGCCAAAATTTTCAGGTAGCAAGGCATCCGTGGCCTATTTATACCCGCTTGCGTCAGGTGCAGATGCGCCACTGTGGCGCAGTAATCCTTATTCTTTTTCTCAGGTCCCTGCAGAATCTTGCTTCTTTCGTTTTCTAGTGGATTTTCCAAACAGCTGGATTGTTATACGAATTCATAACTGGCTAGAGCTTATATACATGCAGGTTAAAATGTGGACAATACTGTTTATTAATGCCCGGTGGTCCGGGATACCGATGAGGGGCCAAGGAAGCACAAGTGACTCATACACAAGACACCTGGGCAGACACCATGGGTATGACTGTATACTAGTATGAATGGAGTACCAATCCTGTTGTCCCATATCGGCGGATCCGGTTTAGGTATCAAAGCAAGATGCCTGTCAGGCAGCCGTCCACTCCCGAAATATTTGGGGTCGCCACAAGCTGGCTCTGACAAATCCAGTGGCGGTGAGTGCACGTGACAGTGATCGCCCTTGATCTCCAATCACGTGCATGAATGAAGATGCTTATTTAAGCATTAAAGATCGGGCAGCTGGGCAGTGCCTTTCTGCAATGTACGAACGCCATGCCCGATGTTAGGCTACAACAAACTTGTCATGGTCGGCAGGCCTCATAAATCAATGATCTTCATACCCGTGCAATCAATTGTTTCTATTAAAAGGAATACGATAAGGTTCTATCTATGAGGAGGCTTTCTCAACCTCAACCAGGCTATGCAGTCTTGCGTAAAACTAGGAAATTGAATCTTCTACTGGATTCTAAAGTATGTAGCACAGAAACAACGTGGTTTACATGGATATGCTTAAAGATCAATGTATTGAGAATTGAAGCCTACGAATATATCATACTAAGAAGGCTTTTCCACAGAGTCAATATGGCCTTATATATTTATAGAGAACAATCAATGGCAGGACTGCAATTCTTCTACGAGGCTATGGTATAGAGCAGCATCGAAAGCAGTAAATAGTATGTTACTTGTGTGCGACACATGGATAACTCCCAAGGAGATGGATTATAAAGGCTAATTAACACCGCCTCTATCATAATAGAACAGCCTTCGATACCGGCCAAGCCTCCATGCACATTCATCTATTTCGAGTATATTGCTGCCCGGTTTGAACATGTTATTTGCTAAGCGAAAATTATACTAGACCCCAGAGGTATACGCCCGAAATGACGATGCCCAAACTGGCAAAGCAAAGCCACCACTCGACGTGGACCAACAGACACTGGTATAATGATCGCATGATATCTACATCCACGTCAACTGTTAGGAATGAGTTCGTGGTGTTGTCAAGGTGAGATGTTCCTAGTGCTCCCGTAGCCCCACCGGGTAGTCCGAGGGTATGCTCAGCATTGGACATTCAGAATGTTTTCCTTTCGTATTGTTCACTTCTCGGCCAGCTATTTCTTCTTACAATCTGAGATATCGCGGAATCATCAAGCAATATCATTAATTGAGGCATTCTTCGATATGTGGTTTGGCGCGCACATTGTATCTAGCCTCGTTTCATTGCGGCATTTGTGCTACAGGCAGGCCCAGGGACCATGCTCCACTATCCCTACCAACCTGGCAACCTGGCAACCTGACAACCTGACACACCTTGTGCCTCTTCGAATTTTCATATTCAAAGTTGCATATGCTACCATTATTAATTGTCGTAAGATCGCAATAAGCTGGGGTATGAATCAAATGCGCCACCCATTTCTACTTCGGAGCCGAGGCATTTGTTGGGTTTCAAGACGCGCCTTCAGTGGCACCACTCGCGCACAAGCCTGCCATACAGAGAAAAGACAGTGCCCAAAGAGCATTGAGCGCAAAGACCAATTATCTCAAACCCCAAAATGTGCCAAGAATCCGCCATCGCAATCCCATTCGACCCTCAGTCTTCCATTCTGGACCTGCAGATCCACCTGGAAACGAGCAGGAATCAACACTCTCCGCTGTTTGGTGGGATGCACAGCCGGTGATTTCTCCGCGTTATGGATCCTGCAGACTTACTACCCTGAGATGGGTATGGGTAGCATAATGGCCTTGTCGAGTAGGTTACCTTGGACAAATCAGATCGTATCGGACCTTGTGTACTAAGAACGATCGTCTAGTGGCATCCGGCATCACAACTTCAGTTATCCTCGAGACAATCCTGCTCCGCCGCGGAGCTGACCAACTCTCCTGGCCGATGGCTGCTCGTACCGCTATGGGCATGAGTATGGTTTCGATGTTGGCCATGGAACTAGCTGAGAATGCAGTTGACTATCATCTGACCGGTGGGATAGTTGCTTTTGGAGATCCGAAGTTCTGGCTGGCGGCGGTGGTATCGATCGGTGCAGGGTATCTGGCGCCGTTGCCGTATAACTATCTACGTCTTCGAAAATATGGGAAATCGTGTCACTGAGTTCCAATGTACCTAGTATGCTCACCTCTATGGAATATAGACATCGTTTTAATGAGTTAATTCCACTATCAACTCTTTGCCACAAAATTCATCAGCAATAATAGACAAGGACTAACCTTAGAAAAGATAGATGTAGATTATACGTAGAAGAATTGAGTCTAACTGCCTGAAGGACTCCAGGGCAGCAATGGCGTGCGAGAGGCGGTGGGTGCCGATTGAGATATAGGGCCTTTCGTTCCAGTTGACTACATGTACGCTGGCTTATTGAGATTATGTTACCTGAGTTACCCCGACGGTAAGGCTGATAGGGGGAAGCGGCTGATGGGGCTGATGGGCAGAAGAAGCGGAGCATGGCTTTAGCCCTAACTCGGAACATAATCCGGCGAATATTCCAACCTTGGAAGGTCGGCTTGGTTGTTGCTTCTCGTCCGGATATTGCTTGCTTACTACATTGGGAAAAAGGACTGTGGGATCATAATTGGCATTGTTTTTGATTTTAGCTAACACCTGACTACCTAAGAAATAGAGATAGCAAGTATGAAACATGGCCAAGGGGTAGGGGTAAATTCGCTGAGCTGCCCAGCAATTGCTACCGGGGCTATTTGAACGGGGCATTGGCAATCGACGGGTGAGTTCTCAGGTATTCCTAACCGGAAGATACTGGAGGATCATTATCTGTCGCCTCATCCCCGAAAGTCACACCCTGTAAGAATGCCACGGTGACAATGGCGAGGGATCAGACCCAGGGAACGATCCTTCGACGGACAGAACGGTGCTCTGGTAGCAGGTCAAAAGGACCCGGGGATAAGCATCCGAAAAGTCTTGGGCTTGCCGATCCAAAGTCCTGGTCGGCATAAAAGAAACGGGCGGGCAGACTCTGTTGGAAAGAACCCTGATAGTGTACGCACGGACATTGCTTCGCCGAGTGGTAAGACGGGCAAACCTGTTGGAGGTTGCCCTGGGGAATGTTGGACACGAAAGTCACTCAGTCATAGTTGCCACCGACTTGGCTAGCGAAAGCAGTAGAGACGCTACGGGCATCGTCGTCATCGTGGGGGTTCTGCCCCGGCGCACCGCGAGTCACACGAATGCTAGCGGAGCTGCCTCCAAAGATGCTGCCATTGTCCGGAACTCCAGCCCTGTAAGGCTCGCGTCCGCCAGACTCGACGTAGCGCTTCAATCGGTCAGATTGGCTGAGACTGGGCTGCTTGCTCATATCATTAATGCTCAGACCAGTGAGGCTGACACCACCCTGATCAACGCTCCGTCCGTCAGTGACGCTGCAGGTGACATCAGACTCAGTAGCAGCGACTGACTCGCCAGCGACACTGGGTGCTCCCTTGGGTCGGCCGCCATTTGCTCGACGACCGCCAGAGATCGCAGGCCAGGACTCGCCGAAATTCTGGAACATAGGAGGGTAGCCAGATGGAAGGCCAACACCGCCAAGTGCCGAACCGTGAACAGAAGATACGTCGTCAGGGATATAGCCCACTACAGATCCAGAGTCATGATACTCATTGCGGTGACCGCCGTTGCGACCATTCACTGCATTGTTGGGAGCAGTATTTGTTTGGCTAAAAGACATCTGGAAGCGCTGCGGGCCTCTGTATGCTTGCTTAGGCCGACTGAATTGAATCAGGGACTCCTGAAGGTTAGACAGGGGTCCCTCCACGAGACAGTGACGTTCCTTGAAGTGCTGCAAAAGGCAGTTCCACAATGGGTGCTTAGACAAGACCTTGGGGTTTCCGAGGATGACGAGACCAAATCGAGCACGAGTAAGGGCCACGTTGAGACGACGAGGATCGCTCAGGAAACCAATACCTTGGTGATCATTGGAACGAACACAAGAAAGGATAATGTAATCCTTCTCTCTGCCCTGGAATGCATCGACCGACGCAACCTCAATCTCCTTGTAATGTTCCTTCTTGAAGGTGCCGTTTGCCTGCATAGAGCTGACGATGTAGCTCCGCTGTCCCTCGTATGGAGTGATGATACCGATATCCTTAGGCTGAACACCTGCCTTGAAGAAGCGTGTGACGATCTTCTCGACGTTGGTAGCTTCAGTACGGTTAAGATACGAGGTGCCTGACGCGGAGATTTCTTCATTGCCCAGGTTCGACCAAAACATCATGGGGTCATCAATGATAGGCCAAGGGAAGTCAACGTCACGGCGGACACGATCGGCAATGGTGATACCATTCTGCAGCGAGCCTTCGTAGAACATGTTCGAGGGGAATTCAGAAAGGCACGGGTGCATACGATACTGGACATTCAAGCGAATAGGAGAGCAGCCTAAGATAACGAGGCGCTCGAACAGAGACTGGTTTAGACCAGCCTTGGCGGCCTTCTTGTTCATGATCACGGGCCCAAGCTGCTGGTGATCACCGACCAGCACAACTTGCTTGCAGCCCAGAACTAGTGGGATCATACACTCGGGCTCAGCAGATTGGGTTGACTCGTCAATCAGGACAGTGCGGAACTTGCCTTTTGAAAGGCGAGGATCGCCTGCACCAACGCAAGTACAGCAGATCACATCCGCGTTAGTCAAAATTTCACGCTCAGCAGAGCGAGTAAGTTGCTTCAGGCGCTTTTCATCTTGGCTAGACAATTCCCCAAGTTCGGCCTTGAGCTGGTTGAGTTTCACCAACTCAATGTTGCTATCGTTCATACGAACCTGCTCGTGCAGGGAAAGGAAACCAACGGCAGATTCCACATCCTCGCGAGATTTCGCAGTAACTCGCACGGTCTTGAGACCCGTCCGATGGATACGTTCGCAGAGCTGGTCAACGGCAACGTTTGACGGAGCACAGACAAGAACCTGGCCTCCATTGATCTTGGCAAGATGATAGATGATGGTGGCCGAGGTAACGGTCTTACCAGTCCCTGGAGGACCTTGGATCAAACTGAGAGGTCGCTGGAGGACACTTTTGACCGCGTTGATTTGACTGCCGTTCAGATCTGGCAGACCTGGAACACTGAACTTCTTCGGAATCTGGGTCTTCATAGGAGCTGCAGCAACCTCATGGCCAAGGAGGCGATGGAAAATGTAGCCTGAGACACTCTGCTCGTCCACGGCAAATGTCTTCATAGCACATTGCATGCGGTCGAACGAAGTCGACTTCCAAACATAGTCGGCCATAAAATTGTGCGTGCATTCCGTGGGGACTGATTTGTGGTCGCCCTTGGCGCGGAGTTCAATAGTCACCTCATCAGATTGATTGTTCGGGATCTTGATGACATAGCCCACACCCTCCCACTTGGGGCGCAATTCACCGTTGTACTTGATGCGCATCTCGTCGCCCACGGCCAATTTGACATCTCCCAGCTCAAGCTTGGGCAGCACAAAGCTTGCGAGGTGCTTGTTGTTGAGGCCAAGATCCCAGCGCACAATGAGTCCATCTTGGGATTGAGATTCCTTCAACTTGCGGTCGTAATCAGCTTCAATTTTAACAAGTGGCCCGAAAATATTTTGGTATTGGAAAGCATCGTCGTAGCGAAGTAGGACTGGCGCAGGCTCATCATCCACTGCTGTGGCCTTCTCTAGGTCTTCCAGGGTCGCCTGAGAGTTGTCTTTCCACATTTCCTCCAGTTTCGCAATCAATTGAGGACTGAGGTGACGGGCTCGGAGTTGTTCTTGGTCAGTGGGTGCTCCCACAAGCCAGGGGAGGAAAGAACGATCCTCAATAAGTGGCTGCCATCGTGAAGTGTCCCAATTCATGTCCTTGGAGGATGGCATAGAGGCACATGGCTGCCGACACAGCAAAACAACAACGGTATCGGATTTCGCGGGGATGAAGCCAAGCAAAAAGACATTCTTCGTGCCACAATTGTAGCATTCCAGAATAGTATCACCCAAGGAAGAGCCTGGGTGAAGCTGGACTTCCTTATGGCGAGCTCGGACAAGGTGGTTGACGATATGGGAAGAAGAGGTATTGCCACGTGCACTGCAGAACCACTTATTGCACGAAAGACATTTGACGACGCTGCTCGGGTTGTGAATGCCACAGTACCTACACTCAAATCAGTAAATGGACATCTACAAAGAAGACATAAAAACTAACGCGCATGCATGAGCAGGGAGCTCTATTTCCTCCTCTCCATTTCCTTGGGACTTCTGATTCCCGTTTGTGGGTGCGCCAACGGTGCTTTCTATGTCGTCATCTTCAAAGGTATCGGAGCCTTCATCTTCGTCATCATGCCGGCGTGGACGTGCGTGGCCAAGTGCGATCTCATCAACTTCGACTCCCGCTGAGGGGTCTTCTGGTTGGTAGCTCATGATGGGTACCGATTTGGAATGGTGATAGGGATGACTGGAGCTGATCAAGATTCAAAGCAAAGAGCAAAGCAAAAAGCAGTTGAAATCAGAAATGAAATCAACAGTCGTACACGATTTAAAGAGCGTAGAGGACAATCCGGTCGTCCTATGGGGGTATTCAAGGCTTGAAATCTCCAGGGTGTGCCTGAGGGGCAAACGAACGGAGATCTATATCGAGATGTGTGATTAGCGGTAAGTACTTGATGAGAACAGATTAGCACATACAACCAGTCCAGCTCTCAGTGTCAGAGGACTGACAAAAGAGAGTTGATGAGTTTGTCTCAAAGGATGGGCAAAAAGCGTTCTCCGCAACTGCCCAGATTCTTTATCGGTGCGATCCCACTACGGCTACGCAGACGAACCATAAACGCAGCCCCGGAGTTAAGAAAAAAAAAAGTTGCCCGCTCTTCTTTGCTCAAGCCACTTTTACTTCAATCTTCAAAATGCTGGTAAGTGAAGGATAAATTTGACACATCTGATATTTTACTTACAATCAGTAGCGCCGTCAAACTCGCGAGCGTCGCGATTATCTCTATCGGAGAGCCTTGCTACTCCGTGATGCCTCGATTGCCGAAAAAAGATCGCAACTCAAGGCTTCATTGGCTTCTGGAAAGCCTTTAGATCCTACAATCGCAAATGATAAAAAGCTTCGGGAAGACTTCAAATATGACGAGTCAAAGGACAAGGAAGACGCTGAGATGGACATCGACGACGAATACGTTTTAACCTCCGGGATTATCGACCCCCGTCCTCTGGTTACCACCTCTCGCTCACCCTCCGCTCGCCTCGGCGCATTTGCGAAAGAAATCCGCCTTCTCCTTCCCACCTCCATTCGCCTGAACCGTGGAACTCTTGTTCTCGGAGATCTCGTCTCCAGCGCAACCTCCGCAGCTCTGACCGACATGGTTCTCCTCCACGAGCACCGCGGTACCCCGACCGCGCTCACTATTTCACACCTTCCCCATGGCCCGACCGCCAGTTTCTCTCTTCACAATGTCGTCCTTCGTCAGGATATTCCGAACGCCGCTCGTGGTACCGTGTCGGAAAGCTACCCCCACTTGGTTTTTGAGGGATTCAAGACGAAGCTGGGTGCCCGCGTTGTTCAGATTCTAAAGCACCTTTTCCCCCCGCGCGAGCCCGGAAAGATCGGCAACCGTATTGTGAGCTTTGTGAACAAGGACGACAACATCGAAGTGCGGCACCATGTTTTCGTCAAGACTGGGTACCGGGATGTGGAGTTGGCTGAAGTTGGACCTCGCATGACGATGCGACTTTTCGAGATCCGCGGAGGTACCTTGGAGAAGGGTTCGAGTGGCGACATCGAATGGGCTCTTACCCAATACACGAGAACTAGCAAAAAGAAGGAATACCTGTGATTCTTTATGATCTCGCATCACTACATCGGCTGTCGCGTGTATGGTTAAAGCAGAACCTCACCTTGTCACATTGTTGGTCTGGCGTTAGAGGGCAATTGGAATGGGTTCTTTTGTCATGTTCAAATTATTTTATGATTTATATGGCAGTGGAGAATGTCTAATCAAAATATAAAAGACCAACCAATCCCCTGCTAGGGAATTGGTTGCCACTCTATACTTATCATGTTATAGTGTATAAGAAAACACAATCCGAGATTTAAAAAGCTTGCAATGATCTAGATTCATTAGAGGAAAATCTCCGGCATTGCTAAACAGATGAGATAATGATACATTATATGCCTCTACAGGTGTTCCGAACAAAAATATCGGTATAACGCTATTGAACATAGACACTGGGGACTATAGAGCATGTATGGAAATAAATGAATCAATCTTGCAAAGATGATACTATGGAAAGAATCATATACTGTCAAAAGTAATGAAATTGGAACTGTCTACATATATGTACATATGTAATCTCTTCAGACATGGAAAGGGGTCCCTATTTATGCACTTCTTCTTCGTATTCCTCCATTATGACAGATCGGAAAGTAATCAATAAGAAAACAAAGGGGTAAAAGGACCCCGGATAGGGTTAGTGTTGAAGCCTGGAAATGGCATATCAATGAGAATTGACTACGATTTTCAACAAACACCTCCAGTGGTCTATGTCTCAACAGCTTCTCCTCGGCAGCTTTTAATGTCATTTCTCATGTCATTTCTCATGTCATTTCTCATGTCCTTTTCATGTTTTGACCAGAAGGACAAACATAGCAGACATCGAGCAATAACGGTCTCAACCGTAAGATTACAGGTCTTTCCATGGATCTCAACGTACCGTTGGTACAATCTAAGTAGATATAATATGTGGCTGGCAGATCGATCAGAAACAAATCTGCTATATCAGAAAGATTCCAAGGCACATTCTAACCGTTTTCCATTAAGGAAGGAGACAGACAGCAGTATCGCTGCTGGAGACGATCCATTAGGGTCTATAGGTGGTATCTGAGCTGTTAGCCGTGGGCTAAATAATGAATCTATAACGTAGGTATAACAATGAACACGGACTTTGTTCTGCCAAGGTGCCAGAAGTGGACTGATAGTTTATAAAAGTGGGGAGATGCGGGTCACGCTGCATGTAATTAGCCCTAGAAAGCCATGATCTTCAGTGTGGCCCCCGCCCCACAAGAGGCTCTATTACTAGTATAACATCGCTCGTGACTTAATAGGGTACTACACCTTAATACATAATTTCACATATTTCTGAAGGGGATATGCTAGAGTCACAGCTGTAGGTCGGCGAAATGAAGAATCAAAGAGGGAGTACCAGGTATATACGCAGTGTACCAAATCAGAAGAAATAGCCGATTAATTTGAGCTTGACGCAGCCCTGAAGGGCACAGTTTACTAATATAGTATGCTGGAATGCTCGTTTATTTCCGCACACTCTTGTACAACGTCACTATAGTTTTCACTTGTCTGATAATAGGAAGTATTTCTAAAAGCATGATAATAAAGCAGATACATATATTTCGTATGTGCTGTGCTAAAATCTGCGAATTTGCATTTGGCACAAACTCAGCGTTCAGCGTGACATCCACGTTCACTGGGTTTCCACTCATGGATGCGGGCATTAATCACCTGGAGGGATCACCATCATCCAACCACCTACCTATCCATTTCCTCCTCCTCATCATCATTAGCTTCAGATCCGTCTTCGCCTCCATCTTCACCGCCATCTTCATCTCGGTTTTCGAAGTTATCTTCGCCGCCATCCGCAACTTGGTGGTTTGCCATCTTTTCCTCAATACCGTCCTCCTTGGTACCATCGCATGCGATGTGGCCAGTGGATCCTTGACAACTTGTGCTCTGGGGTTCCCTGAGGAATGTACCGAGGATAGTTGTCTTTTCCTCAAGATAGAACCACCCCTCATGAACAGGCAACCTGTTTCCGTCCAGGTCTGTCTTTGGGGGTGGCATTTTTCCGTTTGCTCTTTCATCCCATTCCTTGCCAGTCTGTTCCTTGAAGAACTGCTTGAATTTGCCCACGGCAAGCTCGAGCTTGCACCTTGGTCCCGCCAGAAGCTCAACATTGGATGTGCCAACGCGGCTGAATTTGGCGTAAGCTGAGTAGGTATGTGGTTCGGCGATGGATTCGAAAAGCTAAGTAATATCAATACCCGTTTCTTGAAAAAGGGTCCACACAATACCAGTATCACTCACAGTCAACTGGTGCTTTTCTCTGCTAGTGCCTGGCGGTTTTGACGGGCGGAACAAGGTGGTGCTATAGACTACACCTGTCTTTCTGTCCTGGTACACACGACGCACGGCTGTCATGGGTAAACATTAGGCTTGGATATGCCATCTGACATGAGGACCATACTTACGCTTTCTTTTGCCCTTTGAACCGAGAAAAGGATCAGCTGTAGAGGACCTATCAGTACGGTCTGCATTGTATCAATATAATGGAGCTCCGGAGACTCGATACTTACCTATCGCACGTTTTGGAATCTTGGCTTTGATCTCCTTGGTTACCTCTGCGGACTTCGTCGTGACCTTGTTCTTCTGGACTTCCTTCTTCTCGGGCTTCATCAGATTCTTCAGAAGATATGGCCCCTCCGGTTTTGGCCTGCGGGTGGTTGACAGCAGTGAGTCTTCAAGCCAATCGTATGAGACGATCTTGACGGTGCCGATCTTCTTGGCAGATTCGACTGTATGTTGTTAATTGACTTCAAGGTCTTTGAAAGATTCGAGTGTAACATACCTGGAGCTGCATGGGTTTTGAATGCCTCCTTTGTGGCGATGAGATGGGTAACTCGCGGGCTCACCTCTCTCGAGAACTGGCCGCCATTTGCCCGAATCCACTGTGGGATCTTTTCGCCGATACCGTCTTGGAATTTGCCTACTATAGAGGCACGAATGCTTTGGAATGGCTTCCCCATTTTGGGTTCCTGCTGCTGTCTGAGAATACGTTAGAGCGGTCTACTGGTTCCTTTCGTTTCCAATGGCAGCCGAAATGCCCAAAGAATGGTTTCAGAGACGAGGACTAATTTTGTGGGCCAGCAGTTTCGATTGGCCTTTGCTGGCTGTAGTGGTATTTCAGAAATGAAGTGTGGACATTGCTGGAAGGCAAGTCTTTGAGAGGTAATGAATGAGAAGAGTGCATACGAACCTCGTTTGACCTCTGCTGTCGACTGAGATGTTCTTCAGAAAGGGAGAGAATAACCTCGGAAATGAGATATGCCTATTGCCAGGGTATTCCACAGAGCTGTCGACTCGGTCTGCTTTTGCAACGTTGATATGGAATGAGTGCACCGCACCGACCATGACAATTTCTGGAAAGTGAAAGTGATGAGAAATGAGGAAGTGGGACTTTGAAGGCAGTTAAGATTGAGATCTACTTTAAGAAAGGATCGAAAATCATTCCTGTCGGTATATCAAATAAAGTCTGATCAAACAAGTGAAATGAATCTGACGTAATTCAATTGTTATGAATATCTGCTCATGATCATCGAATATGCAATCCCGAAATGGAACGAGCTAAGAAGTCATCTTAAGTAGCGTAAATGCATGTTATTCATTGCCGAATGCTTTTGGCAGACTTGACAAAGGCTCGAATCTTCTCCAAATCTTGAGCGCCATTTGTCTCTACGCCTGAGCTGACATCCAATCCGACCACTTTCTGGCCCGATTGACCCAGCTTCGTCACTGTGTCGACCACGTTGTCCGGGTTTAATCCTCCAGCCAGGATGACCCTCAATCCCTCGTCGCTATCGAGGACTTTTTTGACACCGCTCTCCTCCAGAAGCTCGCCAGAACCCCCAGCACCAGAATCCAGCAATGGGAGAGTGTGGTATGCTCTGCGAGCAATGCCAAGGTCACCAGGGGCGAATTTGCGAATGACGGGAACTGGAATCAAACTAGACCACTCCAATAGCTCAGATCCATGCAGTTGCACGACATCGAGACCCAACTTTTGTTGTTGAGAAATGACATATGATAGCGGCTGGTTCATGAACACGCCCACGAGCAAAGCACGAGAAGGGTGACGCAAGATATTAGTGGAGTGATCGAACCATTCCAATGATGTAGCGTTTGATGACTGCTGCGATGTACCGGCCGGACGAGGGGTCGATTTGACCACCCGGGAAATGCCGAGGGCCACATCATCTGGGACCAGTCGTGAGCGGCCCTGAACCATGATAATGCCAATCAAATCTGCACCAGCTTGAATAGCAGCCAGAGCTCCTTCTTCAGTCCGAGTTCCACAAATCTTCACCAATGGAGAACTTGGTGATGCACCAGCTGAATTTCTGTTAGGACCGCCGAGAAGCTGTGCCACAAAGGCAGAGGTATCAGGTGCCCTCATAAGAGCCTCTCCAACGAGAATGGCCTTAACACCTTCTTTCTTATAAGCTTCTACATCCTGGGGCCCCGATATTCCACTAAGGGCGCACACAATTGTGCTCTCAGGCACTTGATCCATTAGGCGACTGGTGGTTCCGAGATCGACCTCGAAGCTTGTCAGGTCTCGGTTGTTGACACCGATCACCTCGGAACCCAGGTCAACTGCAATCTTCATCTCTTCGGGGGTATTGACTTCAACCAGGGGCTCCATGCCGAGACTGCGCGAGTAATGGTACAGTCTAGTCAGCAGCTCAATGTCCAGCATCTTCACAATCAGTAGAACTGTATCAGCTCCAGCCAAACGTGCCTCCAGGATCTGATACTCCTCAAAGACAAACTCCTTTCGGAGAACAGCTGGTCGGTTGGTGAGTCCCTCCAGGCTCTGGCGAACAGCCCGCAGGTCATCTATGGTGCCCTTGAACCACTCCGGCTCTGTGAGGACAGAAATGACGCTAGCGCCAGCTTTGGCGTACTCTCGTGCTTGAGCAGGGGCGCACACATCGGCTGAGATGATGCCTTTAGAGGGTGATGCACGCTTGATCTCCGCCATGAGTGAGAGAGGATAGTCTGACTGTCTCAGGCGATCAGGGAATGACAGTTGAGGAGGCGCAATGTTCAGATCATATGCGGCTTGGAGAGCCTCTGGCCGCAGAGCCGGAATTTTCTTCTGCTCGTCAACAGCATTTTTGCGATGGGCGTAAATCTTGTCCAAAATGGATAGCTTCTTGTCTGCCGGTGCGGCGACTGCAGCTCCCTGCTTGTTATCCCAAGTCCCAGCGGTGAGCTCCAAGAAGTTTCTGAACATCTTGCGCCCGTATTGCGTCAAAATACTCTCGGGGTGGAACTGAACACCCTCCACTGCGAATTCCTTGTGTCTAACTCCCATAATGATGTTCTTGCCACTAGCGTCCCCCAGCTCGACCCGCGAAGTCACTTCCAAGCAATCTGGAATAGTCGAGTGTGTCCCGGCGAGCGAATGGTACCGAGTGACCTCAAGCGAGGTTGGCAATCCCTGGTAGACACCCTTGGAGTCATGCTTCAACTCCGATGTCTTTCCGTGCAGAATTTCGCCGGTCACGTCCACTTTGCCACCAAACGAGGTGATCATACATTGCTGACCCATGCACACACCAAAGATCGGAACCTTTCCGCTGAAATGTTGGATTACGGCGTTACTGATTCCCGCATCGGTCTCCGGGTGGCCTGGGCCAGGACTGATAACCAGTTGAGTGGGCTTCTTTGCAACCAAGTCCTCAACAGTGACTTCGTCATTGCGATAGACTGTGACGGTAGCACCTTCAAGGACGAGGTATTGGTAGATATTCCAGGTAAATGAGTCGTAGTTGTCGATCAAAATCACGTTGGATGCGCTGGCCAATTTGGCCGCTTTGGTGGCATGGTGGGGGGAGTGGTCGACAAGATCCGCCATGGCCAGGGATTGTCGTAGGAGATCGGGCAGTGGAGAGAATATGACAATAGTTAAGCTGCGAGCTTCGAAATCTCACACACCTTGAACCGAATCAAAGGTCTGCGGATTATTCAAGTCGGATGGAAGTGAGTCAGACAGAACTTACATGTTGCGACTCACCGCCCGGCAATAAGATCAGATAGGGCAACCTGATTGTTGACCCAGTCGCGGTGAATAATATTCTTTTGAAGCTCCCTCTCAGTTCAAGAGCTCCCCACGCTCGCCATCTACCTTTTTCTTTGGTCTCCCGTCACCTCCCTGGTGTCGCCTCGTTCCGCTCTTCCTTTCTATCCTATGATGATCTAATTGCCCAACATGGCTCCCGTCCCGGAGGCCTATTTCCCGTCCCTGGACAAGTGCTTCTCCGGGGACGTTCAGCTCTTGTATGTCCATTCCAATCACTTGTCGTCAGGGAAGCCAATATTCTGATATACAGCAGGTCCTGGAGAAGAGCTTTTCTCTACGCTATTGATCCCGAAAGTCACACTGACGGCGAAGGCAATATCGATGTCTTCTTTTCGTACCCCGAATCCATTCGCCTACTCTCTGATGGCCTAAAACCGTTCCCCTCCCCTTCCGCAAAATCCAAATCCGAGTTCGAATCCAAAACCGCCGCAATCCATGTCGAGACCAATGGCCAAAGCTCTTTTGACCTGAAGGAGATCAAGGCGGACGCGCTATGGTTAAGCAAGCAAGCTGGGATCGACGAGATTTCCGCTCTTCGTATCGCTATATTGGAATGGCAGGATCGCCCGGCAACGCGCCTGGCAATCGGCTTTTCTAGCGAGGAAGCGACCAGTCTACAGAGCGCGGCTGGAACCGAGAATCTTCGAGGTTCTCTAGCCGGTCCCAACTTCGCCAACCTATTGAATCAAACAGCTAGAACCGACAGTGTTCAATCATTTGAAAAAGAGGAGAAGAGGCGTCTGCGACTCCGCGAGTTGTATCTCTCCGAATCAACCCATGTAGTGAAGACACTCCGCAAGCTGCTTGCTCTGTCCCTACACGATAGTAATTCAGCCGATTCGACCATCTCCGCCAATTATGATCGCAAACTTGCCTTGCGCAAGCTGGGGACCACAGTTTTCCAAGACAAGTCGACTGGTGATGGACTAGCCCGATTTCTTCAAGAATGCATCAGCTCGGTACGCAGTCGGTTAACGAGTTTGGAAGGAGATGGTGGCTGGCTCAGTGCCGCAGAAAGCAGCGATGAACTAGAGAACATCTGGAGAACAAGTCTTGTGGAGGAGGTTGTTCATATCGTCCAAATCATGTTCCACCAGCTTCAAGCCTCGGAGGAATTTCCAAGTGCAGACCTCCTATTGTCCTGGCTCCAGCTCATGGCTGATTATAGCTTCTTGGAGACAGTTCAAGCGGTAAGTGGCCCGTCGCCTATTTCAAGCTCTCGGGATGTTAACGTTTTTTTATAGCCTTGTCAGCAACCTGTGGAAGTGTTGTTGCCTCTTCAAGCTTTCGTGTCACTTACCACATTGGCGTTCTTAAAGCCCTCTCTCGCCGTATCTTTCATTCAGAATATGGGAGACATGCAATCCTCGGCCCAGCCTTATTTCCGGTGCAAGGAGAAGATCTCTCAAATCAACGAGATACTTCTTACTGCATGTGGTGACTTGCACACCGCGAATCCGGCAGCCTTTTCATGGGGTCTGATCTTGTATACCATCCAACAGCTGGCGGAAAACGACAGAAATGACCGAGAACGCGATATTAGCCGTGATTCGGCTGTCTCCTACAACGAGCAGACACAGAATGCAGCGCTTTCTCGAGCGTCCGAACAGTCGGAGTGTGAACAATTGCTCGACTGCGCCAGAACTCCGCAAAGCACGGCTGAAGATGCTATTCTCGTTCTTACATCCGATGCCCTCAAAGAATCCGCACTTAACACCGTCATCGCCCTAGCTAGTAAGACTGGGTCAATGTCAGCCGTCGATGATGGCCTGACAACCCGATGGGTTCGTTTGTCGCTTCTCGACCTTATCCGAGTTGCTATTATATTCCTGGACTACTCCCCGGAAATCGTGGGGTCAGTCCTGGCTATCTTGAGTGATG